CAACATTTACAAACATGTTTATAAACCAATATGTGGAAAGTGCAATGAGAGCTTGCTGCCAAAAGATAACCTTCATCTCTGGAAACTTCTGGTCTGTGTTGCTTTCCAGAAGGCCTCTTTGACATCTTTGTTTCTCAGGCTATAGTTGAGTGGGTTGAGCAGTGGGTTGACCACAGTGTAGAACAGGGCAGCCACTTTGTCTTTCCCCAGGGAGTAGGTGGAACTTGGCCTTGAAAACATGAAGAGCAAGGATCCATAGAAGAGCATGACTGAGACGAGGTGTAACGCACATATGGAGAAGGCTTTGCGCCTTCCTGAGGCCATGTGGATCCTCAGAATAGCCAGAAGGATGTTGAAATAGGAAATTAGGATGGCAAGAATGTTGGAGAGGACAGTGAAGCCCACCACTTCCACGAGGACCTTTTTGTAGACCTGGGTGTATGTACAAGACATTTTCACCAATGTTGGTTACATCACAGAAGAAGTGGTCAATGATATTTTTGCCACAGAACCTCAGGCAAAAGGTGTTGGTGGCATGGGCGATGGCATTCAAGAAGCCTCCTGTGTAGGAGCCAGCAATGAGTCCAGTACAGAGAGAGCTGGACATAGTGCTTGAGTAGAGTAACAGGTTACAGATGGCCGCGTTGGCAGTCATAGGCCATGGCCGCTAGGAGATGACACTCACTGTAAGTCACAACACAGGAAAAGAACAGCTGGGCTCCACACCCAGCCAGGGAAGTGCACTTATCTTCTGAGACACAATTTGCCAGGATTTGGGAGTATGCACAGAAGTGTACCAGAAATCCAAAAAAGACAGACTGTCAATGAAAAAATACATAGGTGTGTGCAGGTGGGAGTCAACATGGATCAAGATAACTAGAGTCATGTTCCCTGACAAGGTGGTCATGTAGGGCACCAGGAATATTCCAGATAGAATCAGCTGCCACTGGGGGTCTGAAGAGAGACCAGTAAGGTAAATTCAGTCAGGACAGTGCGATTTCCTATTTCCATGTCCACAGAGGGGAAGTCTGATAACTGTCATGAGAAAAAAAAAATTAGTGATTTTTGTTTTGAAAGAATTAAAGGTATATGGATCAAGTCAACAATTCATGAACCCCTTACTGTCTAGATAAAATGATAAAAAATTCAGTCTGTGACTTGGAAAGACCACCGGAATGGGAGTCAGGATCTGATTTTGAAATTAGGGCTTTTACTTACTAATTGTTTCATGCAGGGCAAATCCCTTAGTCTCATCCAGCAGGTGAGAAAAATGATGAGCTATGACAGGTGGTCTGATGGAGTTAAGGAGACATAAAGGAAAGCATCCAGCCAAATGCCAGGCCCACGGTGAGCACCCAACATGTGAGTGTCCCATGTGGGTCAGTGAGTGTTTATGTGACAGGCACGAGGTGAGCAACCAACATGGAGTGTCTCGTGTGGGTCAGTGAGTGTTGACATGTCAGGCCCACAGTGAGCACCCAACATGTGAGTGTCTCGTGTGGGTCAGTGAGTGTTTACGTGTCAGGCACATGCTGGTCGCTTTACAAATGGCAGTTCATTGCGCTACTCCTGCCACTGTTAATACAAAGAGACTAGTACAAACATGACTCACTGGGCCCAGAGCATCCTCAGTTCTATACTTAACCACTTAATTCTTTCCACAATGTATATGGTAAGTATTATTATAATCCTCACATAATTTAAGAAGGTCCCAGAACTAGTCAACAGCAGCTAGTATTTGAACCTCAAATTTTCTTTATGAAAAGTATATGCTTTCAGCTTTTAAGCCACTTGCCTCTCTTATTAGTAAATACATTGCTTCTCTTGTTCCCCAATTAAGGCAATCTTATAATCCTCTGATAACCTGAATTTCTTCACCTATGAAAATAGATTTTTTTAAAAAGTGTTTTTATTCCATGTTTTTCTCTAGTTAACATGAGATTTATATATATATACATATATGTATATATGGTTTAAACATTTTTTGATACAGTAGGTGGTGAATAGAAGGATGAACCAAATCTTTGGTGTTAAAGATTTATTGAGAAACCATGAATCCTTCAAAGTTTGTATCTTGAACTTGCACATCTCTCAGAGAGAAGCTAAGAGAAGGTATCTAATGTCAAACACTATAGAATTAGTGCCAATGCCACAGTAACCAGCTTACTTCCCCCAAGGCAGAGACACAGTGAGAGCAAACTAAAATTAAGAAGATTGTGCTTTACTTAAATGTTAAAACACTTATCTTTGAGCTAAGCCAGAAACAATGTTATGACTAGAATGCAAATCCAAGTTTCCTACTTCAAGTTCTATTGTTTTCACTTGTTACTTTGTGAGATATCTCTCAGAGATTGGGTATCCTAACCTTTCAAATGTATCTAATAAGTTCAGAGAGGATGTGACTTGACTGATGACACCGTGGTTAAAGAGGACCATTCCATTTCTTTACAGTATCTAATGGATCACGTCTCGTGAACACACAAAGCACAGATGCTCTAGTCATACATCCAAGGTTCTAGAAAGTGGCTTTAACTTAAACCTCTACAAATCCCTTCTTCACCACTTGTTTCCACCTACTAGAACTTCTACCAAACTAGATCACTCAAACATCCCAGGAGCTCCCCAGTTACAGTTCTATGTTGTTATTTACTTGTACAACTTCCTTCTGAATATGCTTAAGCTTGAATAGAATTATCTTGGCAGGAATTTTTGGCTATTAAATTGGTAGCAGATAAAATGTTGGGTTATGGACACCACCTCAATGGTTACTATAAACTATTTCTGCTACATTATCACTTGTCTAAGGAATTTTTTAAAAATCTGGAACTTCTGAAGCTCATTTTTAATACAATATAATTTGGAGTGGGAAACTAAAATATCTGGACCGAGCCAATTACTACTGTAGTAGTAGTAGTAGTAGACTACTGACTTAAAGAGACAAAGAACTGAAAAATAATTAATGTTCTGGGTTTATGTGCATATATATCTAACTTAAAGTCTTCTCAGAAGAAAAGATGTATAAATTTGATCTGAAAAATGAGTGCAATACAGCCCATTGTTGGGGGGAATGAGAAGGGAGAGCACTTCCATGAGAAGGAAAAACATGTATCAGGTCCCTCACATGAGAGACCCTGGAGAGTTGAAGATGCCAACAGGGGCTAAATAAAATGGCACAGAGAGAGGAACCAGAATTAGCCATAGAGTTATCAGCTCACAAAATTCACTGGAAGCCAGATTAGGGATTTTAGCCTTAAAACCAGCACAAATGGTAGTCATCAGCATTATGAGACAGGGATACAAGCTGGTTAACATTTTCAAGGTTTACTCTCACCTCAGATCATAGAATGGATTAAAAGAGAGGAAAATTGGTGGGAATATAGTTTGGTGCAGCCATTATGGAAAACAGCATGGAGATTTCTCCAAAAACTAAAAATAGATTTACCATATGATCCAGCAATCCCACTCCTGTGTGTATATTCAGAGGGAACTCTAATTAGAAAAGACACATGCACCCCAAAGTTCACAGCAACACTAGTCACAATAGCCAAGACATGGAAGCAGCCTAAGTGTCCATCAGCAGATGACTGGGTAAAGAATCTGTGGTATATTTACATAATGGAACACTACTCAGCCATAAAAAATGAAATCATGCCATTTGCAGCAACATGGATGGACCTGGAGATAATCATTCTAAGTGAAGTAAGCCAGAAAGAGAAAGAAAAATACCATGTGATATCACTTATATGTGGAATCTTAAAAAAAAAAAGACACAAATGAATTTATTTACTAAACAGAAACAGACTCACAGATATATAAACAAACTTATGGTTACTGGGGGGATGGGGTGGGGAGGGATAAATTGGAAGTTTGGGATTTGTAGATATTAACTACTATATATGAATACTATATATAAAATAGATAAACAACAAATTTCTACTGTATAGAACTGGGCACTATATTCAATATCTTGTAGTAACCTAAAATGAAAAAGAATATGAAAATGAATATATGTATGTATATGTATGATTGAAACATTATGTTGTACACCAGAGATTGACACAACATTGTAAATTGACTATACTTCCACTAAATTTTTTTAAATTAAAAAAATAGCTAAATTAAGAAAAAAATAAAAGAGAAGAAAAATCCCTTTTACATACAGAACTTCTCTGAAATCCTTCATCTCCATGACCTGTTGAGGCCAGTTTCTGACAAAGGTAGGACAGATGTACTCAAACTCATTGAATTACTAGGGATTATGTAAACTGGGAACTTATCCTGATAAACAAGACTCAACGATTCTCAATCTCAATTTCTCTTCTAACCAGGAATGTGTATTTATACAGTAATTTAACCTTATACTAGAAAAATATTAAAGACAAAATCCCTTCAAAGGATTGGTTGATAATTAAAGCATCCCCTGTGTATTTTGGTAAGAAAACTACAAGAAACTACAAAATCTTGAAAAGAGTGGGTAAATAAAATTTATATGCCTTAGAACATTCTATTAAAAGCCTGAATCGTAGTCACCATTCTGACTTCTTTGTGAAACATAATTGTATCACAAATTAATCATATTATATTTGGTACCAAACCTCTAATATGGAAAAGAAGAAGCGATAAATTAACCACAAACCAATGATCTACATGATACATACTTCTTAAGTGACCGCAATTCTTCACTGATTTCATGATATCAGGGGTAGATTCTGTTATGCTACCTTTCAATCTGGGATGGCCTTGTGACTTGTTTTGGCCACCAGTTTACAACATAGGCAGCACCATGCAGATGCCAGGCCTCAATCTCAAGAGACACTGCAAGCTTCTCTTCTCACTTTTGGAATTCTGCTACCACGATGTAAGTAAGCCTCGGTTCACTTGCTGAATAATGACACTTGTGTCTGCATCCTTTTTGGGACCCAGCAGACAGCAAGCTGGACCTGTGATGTGGGAGTGGGGCCATTCCATTCTTCATAATCCAGCCCTCACTGACCTTATGGCTAAACACAGTCATAGCAGCAAGCCCAGCTGAGAGCAGACGGGGCTGCTCTAGGCAGCCTTGCAGGGCTGACGGGGCTGGGATACGCAGCCTCGCATGGCTGCACAATTGAAAGGGCACCCGAGTTCAAATCCTGATTCTGTTCCTTGGTAGCTCTGTCACCTTGAGAAAGTCCTTAATAGCCCCCAACCCACATTTCTTCACCTTTAAAAAAGGTAAGAGAACTATCAGAGCTATGGATGTAACATGCTTGGCCTTGTGTGTCACCAGAAAGTATACCTAACTTATGGTAGCTATTTTTATCCTGAGAAAAATGAATTACATCTGATTTACTTTTAAAATCTGAGCTCAAGAAAAAACAAAACAAAAAAAAGGCCAAGTATCCACCAAGAGACAGTGTAAGCCAGAGTAGCAGTGTCCTTCATAATCTTTCTGCAATCCTGAAAGTTTTTTTTTTTTTTGACCACCTACTCACATGCATTTCACAAGGAATTGACAGGTTTGGAAGTGAGAATTTGATCTGCCTTGGACTGATGAGTCCTGTGATAGGGACAGAGCCAATCACCTGTGTGTTTTCTTTCCTTTTTTTTTTATTGAAATGTAGTTGCTTTACAGTATTGGTTAGTTTCAGGTGTACAGCATAGAGATTCAGTTATTTTTTCTGATTAGATTCCATTGTAGGTTGTTACAAGATAATTTCCTGTGCTATACAATAAATCCTTATTGCTTATCTATTAGAAATATGGATTAGCATCTACAAACCTGTATGCTTTTAAGAGTGCCACCTGTCTTCCCTGTAACACAGTCTCACCCACATGCCAAAGTGATTGATCCCTTTCCAGCACCCACCTTCTATGATTTCAGTTTGTTAAAGCCTCTTAGAGAATCTATCATAAATATAAGAATAGATAACCTCACCTACAACAATACAGTGTGCGGAAGAGATTAATGACCCTCATACATGCACGTATCTTTGGAGACATCAGACATCTTGGTTGAAGTGAGAGAGGGAGTGTATCTTATTTTAACACCACGATTTGCATTGTCATCCTTGTTTCCATAAAAATCAATCATGTGAGCTGTGTACATACCTTAACCTCTTTACCAGGAAAATCATTAATTGCCCTGAAACTCTTCTACTGCTGGATCTCTTTGAAAACCTCACAAAAGCAATACATCTTCTCCCCAACATCCAAAACTGCACATAGGCTTAAGCACACAAAATTGTAGATGGTTCAACAAATCCCCAAAAATCTATCCATAATTTCTGTGGTTATGCATTGCAATTAAAATTTCTACCACTATAATATGACCAAGTTACATTCTATAACTATAAGAGATAAGTAATAAATACTTCTAACTTGACACATTTACATCTGAACTGCTAATCTTCAGTCCCCCAAACTGATCTATCTGCTCATTCCTCATATTAAGTAAGAAATTTTACTCTTCTTCTTTCTCAAGACACTAATTGGGAATCAATCAACTCTCTTTTTCTCCCACCTTCTCTTCAAACTCCCCAAAAACCCCAGTGCCCTTACCTTCAGAACATATCCTGAAGCTTAGCACTTTTCATCATCTCCACTGATACAACCATGGTCCAAACTACCACCATTTTTGCCAAGAACATTGCAAAATCCTTCTAGCTGATCTGTACACTCATTCTTCTGTAGTCTATTTTCAGTATAGTAGTCCATGAGGTCCTTTACAAACACACAAACAAAAAGTAAGTCATTTCACTCCTGCTCTTAAAACAATCCTACAAATCTATCAACTTATTCTAAGTTAAAGTCAAATTCCATAGAGTGGCCTCAAGATCCTCTATGAGTAAACCCTCTATTACCTACACGTTCTTATCTCCTAAGTCTCCCCCATCCTTCATTCTCTTCCAGCCTTGCTGACTTCCTATATCTCAAAAACAGCAGCCCTGCCCCAGCATCAAAGATATCTGAACTGTCTTTTCCCTTGAGACACTCTTCCCAGATATTTGCCAGGCTCACACTCTCAGCTCTCGTAAGTCCCAATCAAATGTCATTTTCTGACATTTCTGCCCATTCTTATCACTCTATTTTAAATTCCATATCCTCTTCTGACCAACCATCCTCATCCTTATTATTCTGCTCAGACCCTGCTCTGTTTTCCCCAAGACTTACAGTCATCTTCTAACTCTTATTTATTAAGTTGTATATTTTTCCCCACTAGAATGCATTAATCACAGACCAAAAAGATTTCTTTGCTTTGTTGACTGCTGAATCCCAAAGTATAAAACTGTTCCTAACATCCAATTGGCACTTAATTAATATTTCTAAAGTTAATTAATGGTTAATTACTTTTATCATTTGAGGCAGGTTTTCCTCGAAGTATCATCTACTTCTATCCTAGCTCCAACTGCTCAGGACAAACCTTCCTTCAAGTGGATGCCCCGGGTCAGTGTATGACATTGCCAACACACTAAATAAGAAGGGAGAGTATATAACAGAGGGGACTCATAACCACTAAGACAGGAAGATGGGCTAAAATAATTCCTGAATTTTAAATGAATTGGAATTAAAAAGGGAATAAAATAAATGACAAAGAAGATGTCAGAGCCAGTCATGCTAAAGCATGCCATATAGAATGACGTCTCAAGTCGTGTGTCCCCTGCAGGAACGCTGTTCCTTGCTCCTTCCACTGGAGCACTAAAAATCCTAGGGGAGAGTGTGTCCTTCTAGTACCAGAAAATCAGCACCAAGAAGTAAATATATGACACACTAGCAGCTTGGACAGCTCACAGGACCAGAACCACTAGTCAAAAAGCATGTCACCATTTTTGTCCTCTTGTTTTCTCCACTGTGTAAGGAAGTATATGATGTCCTAGGGTTAACTACAGGACTGAATTTGAATTCTAGGTGAGGGTTATATATATCATTAATGGAATTCTCTTTAGAAGACTCTGTGTGTGTGTGTGTGTGTGTGTGTTTGTGTGTGTGTGTGTGTGTGTGTGTTTGGCATAATAACAATCCTTTGGGAGCCAGGTCAGATTCTGTCTGAGGTCACAACTCAGATCACAGAGAAGCCAAACCACTTAGCTGCCCCTGAGCCCAGCTGCTTACCTTGGTCAGGAAGGACACCCCAGGAAGTGACACCCTCTACCCCCTCCTCTGATGTCTTGGCCTGTTCTGTTGGACCCAATATATGTATTTCCTCAGCAGCCCTTGGGGACCCCTCCCACAGAATAGCCCAGAACCAGACACCTCAGTCTCCAGAAACACAATTAAAGTTCATTTGGATTATGGGAGTAATATAGTAATTAGGATATGATGAATTGAGGAGCATTTCATTAGAAGTGGACTCGCAACATGGATGTAAGTCACAGTGTAATCATATATGTAGTCACATGTATCTGATAATAGAAACTCCAAATTGTGCCAATTAGGCTTTTCTAGGAATTATCTGGGGAGATATAAGGTTTTCCCTGCCATATGCACCGCTGTCTGTCCAGGCCATGCTGCCCTGTCTCAGGAAACCCCTATCAACCCTTGGTGCTACAGCCTCCGTTGTAACCCTCCAAAATCCTCATGTCAAAGCCCTACCCTCCAGTGGCCTGGGAGGTGGCTGCATCTGGGGACAGAGCCTTTACAAAGGTAACTGGCTTAAAATGAGGTGGTTAGCATGAGCCCTAGTCCCATCTGAGTTGTGTCTTTACAAAAACAAAGATCAGAAACTTGGACACACAGAGAAATACCAGGGATGCTTGTGTACAGAAAACAGACCCTGTGAGGATGAAGCCAGAAGCTGACCATGTGTGTGGAGTGGGGAGAGGCATCAAAACAGATCGGCCCTGATGGCCCCTCATCCTGGCCTTTTAGCCTCTGGAACTGTGAGGAGTATAGTTCCTTTGTTTACGACACCAGCCTGTGGTGTTTTGTTATGGCAACCTTAGCAAAATGATGTACAGCTTATCAGCATCAGGGCCTGTTTATGTTGCTAAACTCCATGATCTGTATGTATAATGACTACTTGATTAGGAAATGTGATCCATCAAAATAAAGCATCCTTTAATTTTTCATTAAGTCATACATAAACCGAACAAAGAAATCCGAACATTAATATGACCTTGTGTCAATGATTGGTTTAGCTCAGAGTTTCACTCTGAATTCTCTCTTCGATGTAAAGCTTTTTGAAGTCTGTCTCTCTGCTCATCTATCTCTATCTATATGTCCATTTCTGTCTGCTTCATGCAGTAGTTCTTTTGTCCTTGGTTCTTTTAATTCTTGGTGAAAATATTCTTTTATTGGAATCCTTCAGTGACTCTAAATAAAGATGTTTGTTCCTTCCTACATACATTGTCAAGGAAATCTTTGTATCATAGCAAGCAAAAATGGGAAGATAAGAAAAGAAATATAAATGTATTTTGCAGGGCATTTTACAGTAGGTAGTTCACTTATGACCTCATATGTACCTCTCCCTCCTAACAAATAACTATGTGCTTCTGGAGCCAGAAGCCCTGGGTTTGCTTCTTGTCTTCTCACACATGAGTTGCTTGACTAGAAGCAAGCCATTTCATCCACCTAAACATGACAGTGAGTCCATAACTAGAATCAGTATTCCATATTAGAGATTGAAATATTATACTTACAAGAAGCTTACAAACTGTCAAGTAATATTAAAAACTGGAAAAAAAAAAAAACACTTTCAACTTTCCCAGAATCCCAGTAGTACTACAGACTGTTCCCATCTAGCATGCATAGCAGTTTTCCAGCAGTTGTTTATTTTATTTATTTCTGAGACCACAGGCTCTTATCAATGACATAAAGACTATTCTAAAAAAATAATAATAATAATAATAACAACAACAACAACAACAATAATAATAATAATACATCCTTTGTTTACCAAAGCCTTTGAGAAACTCAGCTCTATCTATCATTTTCCTCAGGGCATCTTTAACATCTTTATTCTTAAGCTGCAGATCAAGGGATTCAACATGGGAATCACCACCATGTAGAACACCGACACCACTTTATCCCTTTCCAGGGCGTAGCTAGTACTTGGCCGGGAGTGAATGAAGAGAATGGAACCATAGTACAAGGTGACAGTTGTCAAGTGAGAGCCACAGGTGGAGAAGGCCTTGAGGTGGCCTTGGGTGGGGCAGATCTTCAGGATGGCAACAATGATGAAGAGATAGCAGGCCAGGATAAGCACAGAGGGAGTGATGACATTGGAGGCAAGTATAAAATAGAGCACCACCTGGTAACTCTCTTCCACATCACAAGCCAACTTGACAAGTGGAGGCAATTCACAGAAAAAATCATCAATGAGGTTTTCCCCACTGAAGCTCAGGGCAAATGTTTCACTGGTGATGATGGCTGAGTTCAGAAAGCCACAAAAGTATGAAGCTACAATGAGACTGGCACATAACCATGGGGACATAACCTGGGAATAAAGCAAGGGGTTGGAGATGGCCACATAGTGGTCATAAGCCATGGTGGCCAACAGATAACACTCACTGTAGGTGAGACCAGCTGAGAAGAACTGAGCTGCACAACCAGCAAAGGAGATACTTTTGTCATCAGAAATGCAGGTTATCAGGATTTTGGGGGCATA